TTTTCTGAGTGGGCAGCGCTCCGGGTCTGCTGAGACCTGTGATACGTGTTGGCCCCTCCATGACGCAGTGGGTTGTGGGTAGTTTTCTGAGTGCACAGTGCTCCCGGTCTGCTGAGATGAGTAAAGCGTGTTGGCCCCTCCACCGACTCAGAGCGTTGTATTCTAGGCATTCTTCGTTGACCACAACTCCAGAACCACCACGTTCATTGATCCTCGGCTCCCGCTTCAGAGCAGTAGACCCACAAGCGCGCTCGTGCATCGGCAACACCTGACGAGGCAACGCAGCCACAGCGCGGGTGAGGTGAGTCCTGGCCTTTAGGGACTGACCGGTCAACTGAGGATGGCTGCTAGGAAATGGTGCTTTGTGAAATTGTGCTGCCTTCTTGGTGTTTGCTGGTTTTGCCAGTTTTTATTATATTTATTTTGCTTTAGTTTGGTTAACTTAGCCTAACCACAATTAAACTGAATTTATCATTCAATATCATTTAGAGGCTTAAAACGTTTTGGAATGTTGGAATGTTTTGGAATGAAAATTTCAGGTTTCTCAGAAAATACCTCTAGGCTAAATTGCAAATGTAATAGTTGCCGTTTATGATGGAAGTCTGAAGAATAAAGTTTCAAATTTAACTAAAGGGGAGTTGGTAATATACAAAATGCTCACAGAAGATAGATAACCCTTGCACACCCAGCATTCTCATAAGCAAAAAAAAAAAAAAATGAATGAATTTTTAGTGGGTTAAAATGTTGTTAACTACAAGGAAAAACTTGTTTTTTAATTAATTAATTGATTCTCTTTACATCTTGATCGTAGGCTCCTCCGTCCTCTCCTTTCAGGCCCACCCTCCCTCCCTCTTCCCCCATCCCTCCTCCCCTATTACTCAGAAAAGGGGAAGCCCCCTCCTCACCCACCCTGCCTTATCAAGTCACATCAGGACGGAGCTCATCCTCTTCCTCCGTGATCTGCCAAGGCAACCCCGCCAGGGGGAAGTGATCAAAAGGCAGGCAACAGAGTCCATGTTGGAGACAGCCCTCCCTGCCCTCTTACAAGGGGACCCGTAGGAGCCCCGAGTTGTCTATGGACTGCATCTGTGTAGGGGGCCTAGCTCCAGTCCAGGCATGGCTAGAAGAATTTCTTAGATGAGGTTTTCTGGATGCCGAGGGTGAACCTGTAGGGTGGCGGAATCCTTGCTGGGATTGCCTGTAATTAGACTGCATTTGGCAGAACTGATGTGTGCGCTGCCTGCCCAGAGAAAACAGCCTGAGCTGAGTGACAGGCCGCCTTGCTGCCTTCACTGCGCGGGCCTGCAGCGGTCCACAGTAACCACAGGGGGGCTCTCCAATACCCTGACCCAAACCGCACAAACAGCTCTTCTTGTATGATTTTTCTTTGAACAGCTTCAATACCTAAGAGGACTGTTTGTGGCTGGGTTTTCTTCTCCTTCGTATAAGTTCATTCTTTGTGTGCGTGCTGTGGCTTCTAAAAGTTCCCTTAGACAAATGGAATTGAGATTCTTTTCTTGCCTGCCATTTCTAAAGGCGTATCGTATAGCCAGTATTATATTGCAGGTCAAATATTCCGAAGGCTTTCTTGTAAGGAAAAAATTATGAATGCAATAAATAACTGAATTCAATTCATCAAAATTCCACCCATGGAATTTCCCCCTATGCTGTTCATACTGCTTTAATGCATCATGTGTTCACTGTTTATAGAAGATTATACACGGGAAGCTCATATAAAAATGATATATAAGTCTAATGCAGGGTGAGGTACGCATGAAAATATTTGTTTTATGAGTAGCCAATAAATCTTTATCTTGCTGCCCTGCAAGCCATTCCTGGTGAACTGAGGACATTGACTGCATTCAGTTTAACAAATACCACTGAACTCTCACCCTTGGACCTAGTGTGCATAGTGTAAGCAGGACTCTACCTGCCTCTATCACGTAGACAGTGGACTTTAACTATTTACTTTATGGTGAGTTCCCAAGCTGAAGTTCGCTGTTCTGTCTCATCAGGACAGTGCTTCTGAGAAAGTGTGCATGAGATTAATAGCTGGAGTGCCTCTCTTTCAGTACCTCTGCCTCAAAAACTTTGAGTTACTTTCATGGCCTAGGGGTAGTCAGTTGTAGAAGAGGGACCCCCAAGGGTACATTAGCAACTTAAATGAGGGGAGCTGAGCAGTTGAACAGAGAGTAACCCAGCACGCAGCCACAGCGTGGTCCAACCTTTCTCAAAGAATATGGCTTGTGATGCGGCGCTTGGCGGTGTGCTTGAGGCAGTGCCTGTATTTCCTGGAGGAACTGACCACTGCCTTGGGGTCTGGTTTTAAGAAGTGAGGTCTTTAAGAAGACCTTTGGCTGCTCTAGGAAATGTTGACGCATAGCAACATACTGACAGGAGAGGAATTATATAGACTGGTGTGTTGAAATGCTAAGTTCTCTGCCTGAAGGTGTGTAAAGAATGACTGAATCTCCCCACTAAAGGCAGCCTGAGAAAACTTCTGGTTGGTGTAACGGGTCTTGCCTGTTAACCGTCCCAGCGTCATTTAGCCATGTCTGCAGTCAGTAGACATGCTGATGGTGCTGCTGTGGAAGCAGACACCTGCTGCAATGCAGAAACTCTGTGGTTGAGAGTGTGAAGAATACAAATAATTAACAATTATTCCCCGGGTTCCTCATATGGACAGCACATTTAAAACTGTATTTTAAATGAAGGAAAATAAGAATAACAATCCTTGATAAACTTTTAAAGGGACTTTGAGGGTGCTGGGGTGAGGAAGGGGAGTATAGACCTCTGGCTGCCATGTTGATGACCTGGCTTTGATTCCTGGCACCCAGAAAAGAAGGGAAGGAGAAAACTCACTCCACAGATTTGCCCTCTGACCTACATGCACATCCTGGCACCCATGAACACCGCCCACAATAATAATAAATAACATTAAAAAGGAAAAAGCTCCTTTTTAGTAACCGAGAAAGAAAGCTGTATTTTAATAAAACTTAGATATACTACAGAGTTTCTTTTTTATTGTTCCTAGCTTTATCGGGGCCTAGGAAACAAATAATAGAACTGTTAATAACAACAACTGGCTCTGAAGTAGACACCAAGCACCATGGGAGCTCAAAGGACATTTAACTTTAGCTTGAAGGGAAGGAAAGTTTTTTTTGTGGAGAAGGGGGCTGTTTGAGCTATACTTTGAAGAATGAATGAGAGCATTCCTGAAGGATAAGCAAGCTGGGGAGGGCAGAGAAGCTGTTTCTAATATGAGGAGCTTTAGAAAGGTCTCAACAAATAACCAGCTGATGCAATGTAATAAAATGCCTATGAAGATTTCGGCGGGAGGAGATAAAAGCTCCATTTTCAAAAGTACCAATTTATACATCCATGATACTTGTCTTAAAGAAAGAAAGAAAACACTAGCTTAAGCGATGTCAGAGTTTCCTGGTAAGAACACAAATGAGTGGTTTGGGTTATCTATTTGTAGGAGTTTCTAAATCTACAATAGGCACAATAAATAATTCAGGCTAGGGCAACCTTTTTCCGAGCTTGCACACCTGCTACTGTGAGCTATCTGGTGTGGGAGGCTCAAACCAGAAAGAGCTGTTACACCAGGTCCTCTAATGGACGTGTAAAATTGCTTCTGAGGAGGCGATGTCCCAATGCACAGCCCCGCAGGAAGATTACAGCAGCTCAGCTCCTCTGCTGCCGAGCCAGGGAATTCCCTCGTGTGCCTAGGTAGATAAAAAAAGGGATATCCTGGCACAGCCCCAATACACACTGTGTCGCCCATCTCCTCTCTCTGATTGTACCGCGTGGCAGGTTGGGTTTCTGTCCCTGCAGAAGTTATTCCTGATCAACCAGTCTGCTATTTTGGTTCTGCAGCCCTGGTAATTACAAGCAGATTGAACGACTGAGCCACACACACTCTCCGACCCAAGACAGGACTGTCTCAACGCAGATCTTTTGAGGACCTGGGGTCAGCCCCGCAGCTGGCACCTGTTGTGACCAGTTGGTTATTTGCTGGGATAAGTGTTTTGAACAGCTCGGTTGGACATGCCAACACAGAGTCCTCTAGCTGTTGGTGTAACTGTTGCTTGCATCTGCAGGTAGGAGAGGATTCTCGGCATGCAGGACCGCCAGTTCTTCCCCGGCCATCCAGCACGTTCAATACAGTCAGTAGGCCGCAGTACCAGGACATGGTGCCAGTGGGTATGTCCGCACTTCCTACAAATCTTTGCCAGTATTATCATGTCGTTGTCCAGAGTGCATGCTCTGCTGACATGGGCCTCCTGCCAGCCTTCCACTTCCTATACTACAATGTAAAAACCACTGCATTATCCTTGAGAAATTTATAACAAAATCCTAGCCCCTTGACTCTAAGACAGCTTCTGCCTTATAAAATCCGGCAAGCAGCCGGGCATGGTGGCTCACACCTTTAATTCCAGAACCCACGGAGGCAGAGGCAGGCAGATCTCTGTGAGTTTGAGGCCAGCCTGGTCTACAAAGTAATTCTAGGACAGCCAAGACTACATAGAGAAACCCTGTCTCAAAAAAAAAAAAAAAAAATAATCCTGTAGCCTTGCTTAGTAAATATTGGATTGTTGAAGGTAATGAGATAATATGCAATCATTGTAAATTAAGCATTTGAACAAACATATAATTAGAATATATTGCACCCTGAGATAGAATTTAAGTGGCATGTGAATCCATGGTAGCCTCATATGCTACTCATGCAAGGCTACCACATTCTTCCGGGCTTTTATAACAAATAGAAGGCAACAAAACCTCCAGAGAGTACACTGAAATAAACAGACGCAAGCTTCCAGGTCTGAAAACCACTCTGAACTGGTATTAAAATGGTGAAGCTAAAGTGTAGTCATGATCTCAAACCTGGAGCGTGCAGAATGGAGAAACTGCTGAGAGGCAGCTAGACTCTTTCTCCCATTGTAAATCAGAGCAGCTTTCTCTTTGTTTTGCTTTAAAATTCTCATTTAAACACCACAGTACTTAACTGGTGGGGAAGATATCATGATCATGAAGATGGTTTTCCCAGGGGAAGGCACCTCCATTGTACTCCAGATGAGCTGACCCTGTGATTTCTCTAATGTGGAACGCTTAACCACATGATTTGTGGTGGTGGGTGCATTTACAATCTACCCTAGAAACAAACAACAGAAACTCTGTGTCATAGAATATACTCTAATACTCATGACATAAAGAAGTTTCACAATCAGCAGATAAGAAATCTAAGGCTGATGTCCGTCTGCATTTGATAATGTCATCTTTAATATGTAATGTGTTAATAAATACCAAGTATATAACTTTCAAGAGCTATAAAATTATTGCTTAAGAAGTATCTCATCTCTGATCTTGTATGGAATAGAAAAACAACTCCATTACAGAAGTGTTTACCTATCATGAAACGCTCATTCGGGATCCTTAGAGTTGACGTTGGAATTTCATTTTAGAGAACAGCATTTAAAAACCTTTAAAACATTTAACTACAGGCAAGGTGGTGGTGGACACCTGTAATCCCACCGGTGAGGGAGGCAGAGTCAGGGGGATCTCTGTGAGTTCAAAGCCGGTCTGGTCTACAGAGCAAGTCCAGGAGAGCCAAGACTACACAGAGAAATCCTGTTTAAAAAAAAAAAAAAAAAAAAAAACATTTAACTAAAATATGTGTGTATAGACAGCATGAAGTTTCAGGTACAACTACCTATAAAATTACTGGGCTCAGTGGTATTGAGAATTCAGACACCCTAACCTTGATTCTCTGTACTATATTTATTATCTATTTGTGATTATTAGTAATATAGCTAAGCAGAATAATCTTACATACACAGATTCACTTTCCTGATAGAGAGGTAATAATGGTACCCCTAATGAATTTTAATGAACAATTTTGGTGTTTCTACAGCCATGTTAAGTAGGTTGTAGATTATTTTAAAATATATGTTTTGCTAATAGTTGATGTTTTGTGTTGCTATTGTTCATACAGTGGGCTTGCTATGGAGCCTTTTACATTTGGCACCTATTTCCACACAGAGTTAGAGAACAGTTTGTCATTAACACTGTAGCTGTAACTGTCACTGTTATTGGTGACTGTTGTTTGGGGCAGGGAATTTCTGGTTCTCTCTTTACCTCTCTGGCTAGAAGACTGAAGCCAGAAGATGGTTTGCGCTTCTTATGGTTGACATTTTTGTGAGGTTGTCTGCTATTGGCATTTTGTTGGTGGTGGTGGTTTTGGTTTAGTCTGGCTTTTGAGACAGTCTTAACAGTGTAGCCCAAGTAGATATCAAACTCTGCTCCAGCTTCAGTCTTCCAAGTGCTGGGATTAGAGGTTTGCACCACGCCTGGCTTTGAGGTTGATTTTGCAAGTTTAAAATGATGAATATCTAGAATTTTGTTGGTGAACTAACCTTGTCATTTGAAAGTAAATATGGTGCATCAGATTAGCTAAAAAAGAATAGCAAGTGACATGGATTAGGTGTGACCCTGACAATCAAATAACAGCTTAGACAACTCTGGCCACAGTTGCAGAATAGCTCCAAACTAAGGACTTGAATGAGTGAAATGAAAATTAGCCAGAAAATAAACTTTTTAAAGTCTGAATTTAGAACAGCATAGAAGTAGTAATAGATTTTTTTTAATTATTCTTTTTTTTTTTCAGCTTACAATGACAAAATTGTTGCATTTTTGCGTCAACCCAACATCCTTGAAATCCTACAAGAGCGCCAACCTGATCTTACCAGAAATCACTCACTCAGGTAAACAGGATTTCAGGGTTTATTTCAAGAGGCGTTAGTACCAGCTGTTAAACTTTGGTGACACCACCAGTCATGGGTGTGTGTTGGGGGGGGGGGCTTGTTCTTTCCTTCTAATGTTGCTTACAATGGTTATATATGAATATGTTCTGTCACTAACACCACCTAGTTTTAGCCCCAGTTTTCTCCACGAAGTACAAGAGTGTGGTAAGGTTGGCTAAATAACCTCGAATCCCTTTTACGGAAGAAATATTAAAAGGAAACAAATGAGCACAGCCAAGAAAACATCCCAGCTTGCAAACAACGACACTGATATTTTAAGTGCAGCTTGACTCAACAAGAATAGTCTTTTACTGAGTTGAGATTTGTAAGGTCGTAGACTTGACATTCCATTTTTCCTTAATGAAAACCCAGTAGAAGCCAAGCAGAGAATCTGCTTTCCCCCATGTGAGTCCTCCCTTCAATATGCCAGCTTCCAGTTTCCCCCGTCAAGGTATTTTATTCTTGGTTTGCCAAGAATGGCCTTTCTTCTAAAGCTCTGCTGTGAACCCTTTCAACTGCACAGTAGCTCTCAGTTATATGATACAGGACAGTGTTCTCCTGGTCTCGGTGTACTGTGTATCACTGGTGGAAGAAAGGGAACACCTTATCTAACCTGGTGCTCACTTGATTTACACATACTTTTAATGGCAGAAATGTTTGTCAGTGGTGCCGTCCAAAAGCATATAGCAGTAGTTCTCAAAGACCCACTTTCTTCTGCCAAATTCATCTTCACCCAAATAATGTAGAAGCTTTATATAATACAAAACGCCAGGCCTCACCCCCCAGCACACACATGCACGCACACACGCACGGGGTGGGGAGCAATCTTCTGAATGCATCCCATTCCCGCGCATCTCATTCCCACAGACTAAGAAAGGAATCCTTGTGAAGTTTTGTGCTTTCCCTCTGCACTCTAGGTTATTATTGAAAGCAATTAGTACATCTTCAGATCTCTGCCATGGGGGAGGCTACATGATTTAATCTACCTAAACAGGGCATCTGACTTACCACAAGCCTTTAATGACTTAGAAGAACTTCAACAAACTTATTAGAGGGACAGTGGGAGGCTCCGGCTGCCAGCATCCAGCCTTTTGTTTTTGTTCTGCCTTTGAGACTCCTGAAGAAGGCTGAAGGTTTCTTCTGCATAGACCTCACACAGTAATCTCTTCTATAGAAATGACCTCATTGGCTTTGAGACATATTTCCATTTATGCTCCGAGACTCTGTACAGATTATGACCATGGGAAGCATCAGCAGGCATGACAAGCCACATAAAGCAGGAACTCAAATCAATGAGATAATGTCCTCTCTCTCACCAAGTATGTGTCACTCGGTGCTTTCGTTTCCTTGTTATAACAACAGAAGAAGTCTGTACATCTGGGAGAACATTCTGTTTCACACATTCAAGACTACGTCGTAAGGAACATCCCCACAACTGTAGGGGTGGAGTCTAAGCTGGGGTCTTTACTATCGGGTTTTGGTGATTTCTTTGATCATAGATTGTGTTAGCAAGTTGTCATATGACAACATACCTGAGAGAACTAATGTATAAAGAAAAGGGCTTACTTTGGTTTTAGTGTTTCCTAGTCCCTGATCTGGTGGACCTGTTGTCTTTGGTCCTCTGACTGGGGGTCACGGGCTGCCAAAAGGGAATAAGGAAACCAAATGCTCACCTTAGAGCTAGGAAGCAAGAATTACAAGCGAGGATCACTTGGTCCCCATCAGTGGCACAATCCTGATGACTTAAAAACCTTCCTCAAAGCATCTTCTCCTGGAAGTCCACAGCACTACCCAGTAGCACCATCTTGAAAAGAAAGACTTTAGCTTGTGGGCCTTAAAGACACATGGGAGAGACATGGTTCATCTGTGCGTCACAGGTATCTTTTGAGCTCTGTGTTCCTGCCTGGCAGGGATTACCAACACAGATTCCCGTGCAGTCTTCCTGACTGATGGTACAGCCACTTGAAAGAAGTAACTTTCCTGTCCCTGCGTAAGGGACGCCATTGGGAGACTGAAGTGGGTATCTCTTTGCTTTTTGCTTCTCTTGGCTTATAATTCCTCTGAAGTCAGAACACAGCAAGTGAATGATTCTGCTTTATTCATATCCAGTTTTCTCTTCCGTGAGACTCCACTTTTCTCTTTTCATGAAGAATACCCGTGGTTTTCCATGTACAGATGGCTTTTGCTTTCAACTGCTATTCTGAGACCTTGATTCTCTCTAATCTTATCATGATTGATAAGGTTAGAATGGTGCCAAGTTGTCCCTCCAAACCCTTAGTCCTGGGAGGGGTTATTTCTCTAGTTAAAAAATGGACGTCCAGAGGGAGAGATTAATAATGTGTACTGCTTTCAGAGGACCCAAGTTTGGTTCCCAGGTTGGGTGGTTTATAACCACCTGTAACTCCAGCTCCAGGGCATCTGATGCCCTTCTCTGACTCTGTGAGAAACTGAGCTCACATGTACATACCAATCTCCACACACATACATATAATTAAAAATAATTTTTTAAATGAACATTCAAATTTGCTGCCGCTTCTGTCCAAGGGGAAGTGCCACTATTGGACTGTGCTAAATTGTACTATTGCTTTTCACTGGAAGATAATAATCATACCAAGATATCTAGTACATGTGAAGATAAGAGCTGGAGTGAAAAATCCTTTTTAGTATCAAAATACAAATATCTTCATTTAAAACATCTTTGAAAATATTTTATATATTTAAAATGAATAGAACACATTTTTTTTTTTTTTAGTTCTGGCATTTGTATACTATTCCATTTATTATGTGCAGAGAACATCAGCCTGTGGTCAGAGTTGAGGATTTCCCTCTCTGGTGGTTAGCAGGCCCAGCCAGGAGGTCTGTTCCCTACCAGCCCTGTTCCCCCAGCTGGCACTGATAGTGGGTGCCAGCCTGACCATTCTTCCAAAGCTTCTTACAGAAAGTCGCTTGCCACAAGAACATGCTCTGTTATACTTTTTCCTTTTCGTTTAAGTAAATCCATTTCGTATTTTAAGTTACTAATAAAGAAATGAGCCAAGAAATTCTGAGCCATGAGAGGCAAAGAGGCATGTGTCTCCATTTCACCAAGAAGATGCAAACTCAAGTGTGGGCCTTTCTGTTCCTTCCTATCAGCCTTTATAGAGAACCTTGCAGTTTCATTGTAGTTTAATTTTTCTCTGATTAAAATTTGAAATTACATTTGCCTTGAAATTACAAAAAAATATATAGAATTTTTTTAGAATTTAAAAATCAAAGTTTCCCAAAACTAGCTTAAGTAAAACAAATCCTAATTCTTAACCTATGTCTCATCCAATTTGATCACAAGTGAATTTTTCCACATTGAAATTGAGCTGG